GTATCCTGTATCCTGTATCATGTACCCTGTATCATGTATCCAGTATCCAGTATCATGCACCTAGTATCATGTACCCAGTATTTAGTTTGTATATATGTATGAAGCCAATTTTTTACAGATTGATTCTTGCTGAAGAAGTTTAAACCCTCTTACATGAACTGAACACAAAAGACAATGAATGAAAAATTGAATTTTAATGTGTTTTTTTCAAAAATGGGATTTTTTTCGAAAATTGTGCTGATTGTACAGATTTTTTAAAAAAATGTACGGATTTTTAAAAAAATGTACGGATTGGTTTAAAAAAATGTACGGATTGTACGGATTTTTAAAAAAAAAATTGTACGGATTGTACGGATTGTTTTTCGAAAATTGTACGGATTGTACGGATTTCTTCTGAAAATGTACGGATTTTTGTACGGATGTGTTCAAAAAAGTTTTGTAACATGATCAGGGTGATCATGTTACAGGAGTAGTAACTAATTAAAGATTATGTTACAGGACAGGTAACTAACTAAGGATCATGCTACAGGACTGATAACTAGCTAAGGATCATGTTACACGATTGGTAACTTACTAAGGATTATGTTACAGGACTGGTAACTTACTAAACACCATGTTACAGGACTGGTAACTAACTAAGCATTATGTTACAGGACTGGCAACTAACTTAGGATCATGTTACAGGACTGGTAACTTACTAAATACAATGTTACAGGACTGGTAACTAACTAAGCATCATGTACAGGACTGGTAACAAAAAAAGGACCATGTTACAGGACTGGTAACTAACTAAGGACCATGTTGCAGGACTGGTAACTAACAAAACATCATGTTACAGGACTGGTAACTAACTAAGGACCATGTTACAGGACTGGTAACTAACTAAGGACCAAGTTACAGGACTGGTAACTAACTAAGGACCATGTTGCAGGACTGGTTACTAACAAAGGACCATGTTACAGGGCACATATGCGACAGTATTCAAGGGGAAGTCTAGGTTGACTGACAACCTTGTCGCCTTGAAGGAGATACGACTAGAACATGAAGAGGGAGCTCCTTGTACAGCTATCAGAGAAGTTTCACTTCTTAAAGATCTCAAACATGCGAATATAGGTCAGTTGGAATATTATTCTACTTGCTAATCCAATAACCATGGTCATTTTTTATCTTAATTTTTTATAGTAAAATGGGAAAATTCCTGAATTCCTGTATACCTAATATGAATATCTCAAAGTATGATATAGAAACCTTATAAATAGCCTTGAAGAATAAAAATCTAATTATCGAAGTCTTCACTCTATTCTCTTGTTTATTGGGTCACCCTATGTTGCCATAATATTTGTCGTTCACCTGTATTTTTTTAAGAATTTGTGACAAAATATTAAATGTAAATTTCTGTTTTTTCTTTTCTTTATTTTTCAGAATCTTTTTCTAGTTTTTACCCTTTTTTTACTTTATTCAAAAAAATAAGTTGTTCTCCCTTAGACCAGGTTTCCCCAAAAATTAAGAACCAAATTTTTTTATTACTTCGCATAAAAGTTAAACTTTTGGATGAATTTGGATTATTTTTCAAGAATTTTAATAAATATGATTTGTTTCAGTGACCCTGCATGATATAGTCCACACTGAGAAGTCCCTGACCCTGGTTTTTGAATACCTGGAGAAGGATTTAAAGCAGTATATGGATGATTGTGGAGCTATCCTTGCCATCAGTAATGTTAAACTATTCCTATTCCAGGTAAAACCTAGTCCAGCTTAATTTAACCCATCCAGGGCTCTCCCCCTCCCCCACTTGTCAAGGTAAAACCTAAACCATCCCANCCAATTTAACCCACCAAGGGCTCCTATACCTCACTCTCCCCCCCTCCTTGTCCAGGTTAAACTAAGTCAAGCCCAATTGAAACCATCCGCTTATTGTATACTCTATCCTCCCTCAAGGTACCACGTAAATTGAGTTCTGCCCATTTACCCCCCTCTCCCATAGGCTCCTTTACTACCTCCTTTTCAAAGTTCTACTTTTCCAGCCCAATTCTATCCAACCTATTAGTCCTCATTACTCTCAATATGTTATATTTCTTAAACCACATAAAATAAGTTTATTTTTTAGAAGAATAAGTTGACGTTTTATCTTGAATAAATGTTCTTATTTCTTGGAAAACTTAAAGGCAAACTGAAGTTTAAGATTATCTGACGTAGGTTTTTATTAATCATCATCAAGCATAAATTTCTTACAAATGTTTTCCTTAAAATTCGAATATTGTTTTTTTTTGTTTTTGTTCAGATGTTACGCGGCCTAGCGTACTGTCACTCCAGACGTGTATTGCACAGGGATCTTAAACCTCAAAATCTGTTGATAAATGAACGAGGGGAACTAAAGGTAGTATTTTTTTACAAATTTAGGCTTACGTTGAAGATTTATTTGATATTTTACTGTTCACCAAGCCACAAAAGTCGATTAAAAATTATAAATCAATAGGCAGAGGTAGAATGTGTGGCTTGGAGCCTCTTCTGTGCAGGGCTCGGAGGTCATTGCAAATTCTTAGGATTTGAGACAATTTGCGGGCTCATGGCGGCCCTGCATCCCCTACCTCGTTCCACACTTATTTTTAATCCGACATCACGAGGATGTTCTGACAAGATCCTTATTTTACAACACGCTGATAGTGAATACATTATATAACTTGATTTATATAAACCAGCATTTTTTTCAGTTGGCGGATTTTGGATTAGCTCGAGCAAAATCAGTTCCTACAAAAACATATTCTAACGAGGTGGTCACACTGTGGTACAGACCTCCAGGTGGCCAGCACATTCTATCAATCAATTAATCATTTTAGCTTTCTGTCTTCTCTTCTGCAGAAATTATTAGAAACTCATTTTTTAAAAGTCTTCTTGATTCTAACAACAATGAAAAAATATCAAAATATTATGCGCTTTGCAAGCACTTTTACTATGAAAGATACTATGAAAGTAGTAATGGCGCATACAGGATTTTATTTTGGTGGGGGGGGGGGGGCAAACATTTTCGACCCCTCTCCTAGAAGTGCTGGGGAGTAATTTGTGGAATTCCATGGAGGAACCATAGCATGTGTTTGGTGTTCTTCATTTTCAAAAGAGAATTACCCCCCCCCTCCTCCCCCCGTTTCTTGAAAGCTAGGCCTTACTTTGTAAAATTCCAAACTTGTAATTTGATAATTTTCCGTCCAATTACATATTATTATTTGTTCCTAATTACTAGATGTTCTACTGGGTTCTACTGAGTATTCAACTCCTATTGATATGTGGGGAGTTGGCTGTATTTTCTATGAAATGTCCTCAGGACGACCTCTATTCCCAGGGTCAACAGTCGAGGACGAACTTCATCTAATATTCAAGGTTTTTTTTTTTAAATTCAAATTATTCGTTTTTTAATCAAAGATAGTAAAAATATGGACATTAGTTTATCCAAATGCTTTAAATTAATTCTTGCATATTTTTGTAAATTAAACATATTTTTAATCTTAATTCTAACCACGATGGAAGACGATTTGTATCCACTTTCTTTTAAAACGCAAACGTTTCGTGGAATTTTGAATGATATTGCGCACGTCATAAGATCAAGTCTACACACGAACCATCGTTTCTTATTTTTGTCCAGGTGCTTGGTACTCCTAAAGAAGAGGATTGGCCTGGAATCAGTAGATCAGAAGAGCTGGCAAACTATAAGTAAGTATTTAAGAGGCATGAGCGTATCCAGTGTAAGGGTTGGCAAAGTTATAAATCACCCTCCCCCTCCTAAATAATTTATTATGCTCAGAAATCTTATTGATGCTTCTCTGTGCATTTACAGTATATAATTCCAAAACTGACCACTAGATGGTAGCAAACTAGCTTATTGTTTTCAGTTATCTTGTTTAGAAACCACCGTCCATAATTGGATGTTCTTTATTATTAAAAAGAGGGGGGGGGGGCGGGGTCGGGGATATATTTAATTCTTTCCTGTCAGAAATAAAATGATTATTATAAATGTTAATGGTTGTTAATCTAGGTTTCCTGTCTACCAGCCTGAAAGTATGGTGTCCAGAGCTCCAAGATTAGATTCAGAAGGTGATTTTATTGGGTTTTCATGGGTTTTAAAAGAACCAGGGGCTTCATAAAAGCATAAAGATGGGTAAGTTGTAAGTTTTAAGGAGATATTCCTTTAAAAAAATGTGGAATTTAACTTTTTAAAACACAGGGTGGCCAAAATGTACGGATTGTACGGATTTTTTATTTTGTAACCCTAAAATTGTACTGAATGTACGGATTGTACGGATTTTTTTTCAAATTGTACGGATTGTACGGATTTTTATCCTTACACCGTTTTTTTTTTAATTTTCACTCATTTCAGCAAATATTTTCTTGAAAAATTCTCGTCAAAATGAAGTTAGTTTAACTTATTTTCTGCATTCTAAATAATATTAGATTGATTAACGTTTCAATTGACAATCAAAATTCATTCATAATTTTCGAGATATGTCCAAGAAGTGTTTATTTGAGAATATGTTCCATAAGTACTTANTGAAAACATGGAAAAAATGGTTAATCTTAAAATTCTGGAGAATTTGTGGAAAAAATTGCTTAAAGGGAAAGGGTAAAGTTATGAGTGTAAGGAAAGAAGAAAAAGTAAACTAAAAGACATTAAATGAAGATGTGAGAAATGAAAATAATTTAGAATTAATTTGTTTGTTTTTAAAATTAGGAATATCTTTGCTTCTTGGCTTTCTGAAGTTTGAAGGAAGACGACGTATCTCTGCTAAAGATTCCATGAAGCATCCTTATTTTGCTTCTCTCAGTCAAGCTGCAGTTACGCTTGGAGACAGTGAGTACATTTGTTTCACCAACAATATAGAGCTTTTAGCGGTGATTTTCTAACAAAAAATCTAGTTAAGAATCTAGTAAAGAATCTATCGAAAATTACGAAATCTTAAAAATTGTGCAAAACAAAGTAAAAAGTAAATTTTACTATATTTTCTTTGTACAATTTCAGCCCTAGTCGCGGTCCTAAATTTTGTGAAGTTTTCAAAATCCTTCAGTGCTAACTAATTTTCGTCAAGGGTTTAGAAATTTATGCTTAAACCATTTCAGAAATTTTATTTTGTAATAAATTCACAAATAAGACCATAAAATTCATTAATTCCAAAATAAAAAGATTTTAAAAACTAAATAAATAAACACTTAATTGTTTTTAGATGAATCCATCTTTAATGTGCCCGGAGTAGTACTAGCCAGAGATCCAGGTTACAGAACAGTAGGGTCAGCTCAGCCTAAATCCAGGAGACAGTCCATGCTTCTCTAATAAACAGTCCATGCTGCTTTACTGGGCATGAGCATTCCATGCTGCTGTAATAAACAGTCCATGCTGCGTTAATAAGCTGTCTGTCTTTTCTGCTGTAATAAGCCAATAATAAGTCCATGATGCTTTAATAATCAGTCCATTCTTCTTTAATAGGCAGTCCATGCTCTTTTAGAAGCAGTCCATGCTTCTCAAGAGAAAGTCCATGCTCGTTTAGGAGAACGAATTTCATACTGCCTTAGCTTTGAAGACAATTCTTGCTTCTTTTAAAGGCAGTCCATGCGGATTTCAAAAGAGACTTTGCTATATAAGTTGCAGAAGTCCATGCTCCATGAAGAAGTCGTTGCAACTTGAGCTACCTTAAGAGAAGAACTTTAACACCTCTTTTATTCCCTATTTAAGAAGGCAGTCCATGGGATTGGATTTAAACCTTATCGAAGGAGGCAGTTCATTCTGGAGAACATAAACATAAACCAGAAACAGTCCATGGTGTCCAAAGTTAAAGTAAAAAACCTTAAATAATAGAAAATAGTCCATCCATCCATCTTACTTTTTCATTAATTTGTTTATCCTGCATTCAGAAACAAATTCTGAATGAATATAAAATGAGTAATGATTAGTTTATACCAAGCTAAATAATCATTGTCTCGAAGCTTAAATTAACAAAGTTACAAAATGCCGAATTGTTCTTAAATTAAATCTATGATGAATCAGTATCTTGTGGACTAAATATTTAAGAAAAATAAAGTTTTGCTTATTTTGGAATATAAATCATAATTTTCAGTTTTAAGATAAAAATATATACATCAGTCTTCATTCAGATATTGTACATATAGTACATTGTAATGTACTGCGTGCATGTATAGTGAACGTGTGCAGACTAAAATGTATCGCATGTCAATAAACATAATTAAACGTAAAAATTGGATGAATTTTGTAATGCTGTGATTTTATGAAAACCTACTTTTTTATATAGCATCCCCCCCCTTTTCCCCCATCTACTATATAGCAACCCCCCCCCTTTTCCCCCATCTACTATATAGCATCCCCCCTTTTCCCCCATCTACTATATAGCATCACCCCCTTTCCCCCATCTACTATATAGCATCCCCCCCTTTCCCCCATCTACTATTCCTCTCTCATTCCCCTCCCTTCTACCCTAATAGGGGGAAATATTTTAAATTAAGTATTTATTGTATTTTATAAAAAAAATTGAAAATATATTAAGTAATAATTAAAATGGATATTATAAAGATAAATATTACTGTCCCTAAGTCATAATATTAAAATATGAAGGCAATAAAAAACCAGCAAGATGTTTGGAAAATAAACTAATCTTGTACCAAAATGTTGTTGCCCCTCTATTTTTGTGATTGTTAAAAAAGCATTTTCTATTCTGTTAAAATATTTTACTGAAATAAAGATTTCATGTTTACTGGTTATTAACAAATAATTGTTTTCGCTTGTTTTTTTTTTAACTTTTTCTCTGTAAGCTCGAAAATTACTCAATAGTGGCATCTCCGAATTAACCCTATCACAACTGAAGGAGGGGGGGGTAAACAGTGACCCCCCTCCTAGAATTTTTTGCAATAACTCGGAAAGTATTGGTCTGAGGCGTCTCAAAAAAATTTTAACATTCCTAATTATTGCATGCTATAAGCTAGGCTTTTATGCCTGCTGCCTCATTTTACAGTTACTAGACTTAATTTATCTTTAGACCTACTTCCAGTCATTGGTTTCCAGCATAGAATTGGCTTTTACTTCATTAATTTGATAACTATGGCCGAGGCGCTCGGCCCCCTAGCCTGTCCTAGCCACAGAGCTCGGCTCCTTAATTGTCTGAACCTAACAAATCACTGTCAATTTAATAACTGTGGCCGCAGAGCGGTCGGCTCCCCAGCCTGTTTTAGCCGCAGCGCTTGGTCCAGAAAATGTTTTAACCAGCCCTTTCCCTACATTTTAATGTTTTTCCACAATTTCATTTGAAATATTTTTTTTTGTTCATTTGAATTATTTTTTGTTCATTTGAACATTTTTTTATTCAGTTGAACTACTTTTTGTTCATTTGAACTATTTTTTGTTTATTTGGACTATTATTCGTTCATTTGAACCATTTTTTGTTCATTCGAACTATTTTTGTTCATTTAAACTTTTTTTTATCATTTGAACTATTTTTTCTGTTCATTTATTATTTTTTGTTATTTTGAAATGTGTGTGTTTAATGAACCCATTTTATGTTCATTAGAATTATTTTTATATCCATTTGAATTACTTCTTTATTTGTTTTAACTATATCTTTAATTGTTTGACCTATAAACTTCATAATATCTCAAAATTGTGAAAAACTGCTGTAGAAAAATAGTTCAAATGAACAAGTATCGTGTTAATTTGAACTACAGAATATGACCAATGATTCACACAAACATTAGTTCAAACTGCAGGTATCCACCCCAGCATAGGTGTTAAATCCGTCCTACGATACTTAAGACCTATTCAACAAACAAAAACCCGTGGAGAACACAAGATTTTCTGGTGTTTATGACTCCAGCCTAACAAGACAACTGACATCTTTTCAGAGTGTAGTAACTTCATGAACTTTTTTTAGTAGAGGTGTTTCCTCTTTTTCCGTACGTTTCCGCATATTTTTGAGGCTTTTACGTTATTCAAAGAAACATTTAAAACTTTGTTTAGTTGATGTGTTTCCTTTTAAAGTTAGTTTAGTTGAGGTGTCTCCTCTATGTTTACTAGCAGGAGCCTACGAGAGCTTCTAGTGTAGGGGGGACACCTTCATTTTTTGTGAGTACACACCTAGAAGCTTTTTTGCTGGGCCTCCTTAAAACCCTTTTTTTTTACAAAATTACTGATTAGTTTTTTATCTAAATTAAAGAACCGTATATCTTTCATAATACTTAGGATTTGCTTGGTTTAGAATAGAATATATGACAGAACAGAAATGAGAATTTGTCAAGAAACTCCAAAATTATAATCTTTATATTGTAGATCTTTTAAATACAATTAAATTCTTTTAACTAAGAAAAAGCCTAAGTTTGTAATACGGTTTACACCATCAGATTTTAAAGAAATAGGGATTCGAAAATATGAGTTAGTGGCAAAAACTAAGTTTATTTCTTAAAAAATCCTTCTTTCCAGAAATTTTAACACCATTAGGTTTCAAAGAACTATTTCAGGTTGCAAAGATATAGAGATTGTCAGGATCTGTAATAATCGTACAACCCTCCTTTCCAGGCTTGAGGAATTATTTAAATTGCTTTTATCTAGAAACTATGATAAAACAAATAAATTAATCGTTCTCTCCAACTGTCCAGAACAGAGTGCATTGTAAATATACATCATCAATATCTTTTAACATTTGTTTCTTAACTTAATTTTTTCAATATAATAATTATGTTTATTTGAAAACTAAAAATATTTTTTCCTTTTATTAAGTTTTTTGTAAAAGATATGTTTTTTCAACAAATGAAATTTGAAAAACTACGTAAAAATTTTTAAAAACATATTCATTCATTGTTGATTAAAAAGTAACTTATTTTGACATTGATTTGTAATTTTTTTTAATAAAAAAAAATTCTATTATGATATGAAATGAAATAAATCAAATTTTAGGATAGGGCGTATACAGGTGTGGCGTTATTTCTGGGTAAACGTTAAATAATGGTAGTAGACTCTACACAGCAAATTTTCCGCGGCATTCGCGCACAATTCTGTGAATGTAAACAGTAAATTGAGTGAAAGTGTTTCTCATATTTGAGAATCAATNCTGCCAGTTCCAGCAGCAGCCTAGTAGAACAGGTAGTTTTGTAATTAGCTGACTTCAGTTCAGTGAAAACTACTGTTACATACACTGGACAATTGTGAAGAAACATATCTCAAGAACTGCTGAGGGTGAACCCAGACCGAAATATATTTTCAACAAATGTGGAACTAACATCTACTTTTTATACTCTACAGAGGTAATTGGTCCATCAACATCACCGAATTTTAAATCACTCAAAAATTTTGAAGAAAGAGCTGGCCTATAAGCTCCCGTTCTCAAGACTCGTCTGCTCTGTAAGCCATTCTCTTGTTCCATGTCAGGGAGAGGAAAGGTATGTTAATGTTAATCTTTATGTGAATTATTTTCATGTCAATAAACGCTATTTCTTCAGACTAAGGCCCCAGCCAGTTGTTTGTTCCCAACCCTACTGAATACCCCTGACTTGACGACCCCGCCGCCTCCTGTAAGAGAAACTCCTTTGCATAAGGGACCCTTTGTACCTCCGACGCCAGCCTTTGTGCAGCAGTGCACTCTGGTAAGTCCGTATGGGGAGGTAGGTGCACCCCCTCTAAGTTTAAATTGTTGTAGTGCTTTAAAACATGTAATGCATAAAGAAAAGCGTAAAGGCAATGTCATTGGGCCCAACGCCATGAATTTCGCTCCCTTTCTGGAAGATATCGATTCGCGGAAGACCACACGCCCG